TGTATCAATTTATTCTTATAAATAGAAGATTGTGAGAGGGATCAATTAAGCCCTCAAGAATTATTTCTTTTCACTCTTAAGTCTTTTGTTTTAACTTTTGTAGTATTCGTGCTGCTACTGATGCTCCATCCCTTTTGTATTTACCTTTAGGAGCCTGGTTATCTAATATTTTTCTTGGTAAATGTTTATATGTTGCTTATGTGAAAATAATACAGCCTTTGGTGGAGGAAGTTAATAAAGTGCAGAGTGATGTTAGGAGAGGGTGAAGAAATGGGGTTAATAAACCTAACTGTAAATTTGAAGATCAATAAAAATCATCCAGCCTGAAGTTAGTTATTCTGTTTCTTGTGTCCCTTCTTACTTCCTGCTGAGTTGTATTTTCATTAGACCCATCTACCCTTGCAGTAACTAACCCTGCTGAGCTACCTAGGAGACATGGACATTGTACATAATGAACTAATAGAAAGCTCTACCTAAAATGTTCTTTCCCCCTCAAACTCGGTGGTAGCTGAGAAGATCTAAGTACCCCGAGTTTGTCTTAAAGTGGAGTAAACTGAGGCTTGCCAAAGGCTCGGTATGAATGGCAGCAGTCTGTTCCTGAGCAAGAACTTAGGAAAGAATGAGTGGCTTGTTAAGAACCTTTAATCAGACAAAAACAAAAGGCTAATTCCATGCTTTTGGTCCGATAATGAAGAACTGAATTATGGCTTAAAGCAACAATGCTTCAATTGTCATGGGTAGATGGCCGGAGTAGGAAGCTGAATTTGGGGTCCTTGCAGAAGCGACTAGACCCAATGGACCTTATGTCATCAACATGGGAGGCCCAATCAGCATGGCAAAATGTTTGCAGAGTGAGAGGAAGACTAGTTAAAGCAGGCTGCAAGGCAAGACTGAGGGCAAGCGTAATACCAGGAAGATATCTAAGAATCCATTTGACGAAGAGTTTAAGGGCTGTGCTATCAATTGGTAGATCTTATTTACTACATAGCCTAGCTGTTGCTGAGTGATAGCCATGCAATCAGCAGCACCTGCAATGGACTCGTAGGTGACAGGATCATCAAGATAATCTGAACCACATATGACAACAACTTCCAGTTGCTGGGAGGGGATTAGATATGTTCTTCGCACAGGCCATATATCTTCTCTCTGCAGAAAATCCTTGCTATATTTAGACTCTAAAGTAGAAGCCTTTTTGGGTTGTGACACTTAGAGTATAAGTGATGAACTTACACTACACTTTTAGATTGAAAATGATCTTATCTTGAAACTGCCATGAGTGTTAGCAATCAATATGCTTGGATGAAGACATCAAAGATGTCACAAGGCCAATAGATCTGACCTAAGAGGTCTAATTTGAGGATGTGAAGGGGTGATCAAAATCCATGGAAATGGTGTCAGGACTGGATTACATTAAAATTCAGAGATTTACAGAGGTTGAGAGAAATTTAGTAAACTGAAAAGTTTGCTAGTGAAGTTTTGAATCTAAACTATAAGAGCGGGTTTATAGTACATAGAGAATTGATACTGTTATTACCAAAAAACAACGGCTGGTAGTAACTATGTTAGGACCTGGAGGGTTTATGAAAGGAGAAAGATAGTAGAGAAATAAAGATGAGTACTTAACTGTTGAGCAGTTAAGGGGGCGGGAAAAGGTCTATAAAAAGGACCTCTTTTGTAGTTACAAGTAGACAGTTTTTACCTTTGAGTTTGTAGACCTGTTCAGACCTGGTGGAGGAGGTTAAGCTCTTAGATTTTCCTAGTTCTATTCTTGATTCTTTGATGTGAATACAGTTCAATTCATTATCATTTCTTGTTGTGAGTTTTACTCAGGTGTGTGAGTGAGTTAGAAAGTTAGGATTCTTACCTAGATTCCTAACAAACTAACTCTGCTAAGCTGACGAATTACCAAGAGTTCAAATACATTTTATATAATGAACTTGTTAGAATAATTACATCTATGTATCATCATTAAGCCTGCTTAAGGTGTAGTGTGCTAGTCTTTATGAGTTGTATCTATAGTAGTACCTAGTTCTACACCTAGGTGTCTAGGGAAGTCCCTTAATCTTCCATGTACTTTTGTATGAGTTCTTTATTATAAATAGAAGATAGTGAGAGGGATCAATTAAGCCCTCTAGAAATATATTTTCCAGTTTCAATCTCAAGTGAACTAATAAAAGCTGTATGTATACTATCAGAAATTGTTTGCTGAAAAACATAGAAAAGAAGAAATGTCAAGTGAGGTTTCTTAACACAGCTGTCAGTACTCCTGTATGTGCAATTAACTCCAGAAGAAGAATTTTTCGTGATGTGATTCAGAAAATCAGATTCCAGCTAGGAAAAATTCGTTTGTAAAAGCATATTTTTTGGTAAAGATCAAATTTCAGATTAACCAACAATTTAAGACACATTTATTAGTGAAATTATGGGCCATCTTGGACAATGAGGGTGAATAATGAGATTCACAAACACTCTTTAGAGGAAATTTAGTTAAAACAGATAGAGGAAAGTGTTGGAGATTACGCATCAACTAGAGATATGACCAAATTATAATATATAAGTGAGTGTATGCTTCACTTTGAAATTTTGTGGTTGAGTTAGGTTTAAAATATACTTTTTAAGATGGTACGAATACCTTTCCTAGCAAAGTTTATTGGACTTATCATGTCACTTACTATTAGGCTGCTATCAATCTACCCATAACTATTTATTTTCATGTTTGTGATGTCTAGGACTTGGTGTGAGAGGGTGTGTTGAAGATCCCACATTGACTACAAATCTAATCAAACTATAGTTTATATAAGTGGGTGAAAACCTCACTTTGCAAGCTGGATTTGTGAGGTTGAATTACCCTTAAAGTCTATTTCTTAGATGGTATCAAAGCTTGTCCTAGTAAAGTTTGTTGGACTTATCATGCTACTTGCTATCTGGCTACAATTAAATCACCCACAAATATTTTGTTCCATGGTCAAGATGTCTAGTCAGTATGTTGGAGATTCCATATTGACTAAAGATATAACCTGATTGATTATAATATATAAATGAGTGTAAATCTCATTTTGTAAGGGAAATATGAGCCTTCAAGAAGAAGTCTTATTGAAGCCACTAGAAATGAACCAAGCCTAACTTGCTCTTGAAAGCTAGCTCAAGATAGAAAGATTGGCTAAGTCTTTTAAGGAGTATTAGCGTATGGCCATTGCTGAAATATAGATCACAACGACATTGTACTGAATACCGTGTGTCAGAATACACAACGGATGAGGTTATATAGTAGGATCATTACATTTATTATGCATGAATGGAGGATATTTTGTTTCCTCTAGAATTAAGATTATATGATTACAATGAACAAAATTATTATTCTGATTCTTAACAGCCATATTCCTATCTAATGTGAAAATCTTAACAAAAGTCTGAAAGTTTATTTGTTTTTGCCATTGTGTGAAATTTATCTTTTAAAAGTCTTCTGGTTAGTATTGAGACATTTGTAGTGGCTTGCTTTTTAGTTGTCTTTTTAGGTTTTGCTTTTTCTTCCTCATAGTCTTGTAGTTTTTGTGAAGGATTTCTTTTCCTGTCTTACTATCGATCTGTTTTCACATTATGTAATGGCCTAGACTGTATGATGTAAGCCTTATTTCTATTACCGCTGAGGTGTGGACTAGGATCTATGTATCAATTCTGACTCAATGGTTTTTTGGATTTTTCGAAAGTCAGCAGGCAAGGCTTCAAGCTAGTTGTCAAGTATTCTGTTGTTGTTTAGACTAGAGAGAATCTCATTAGAGAGAATCTCATTAGTTTTATGTTCCTCAATCTTGCTTCTTAGTTGTGTGTAATAGTCAACCCACATGCCTTTTAGCCAAAGGATTCCTTTAAATATGAATTCCCTCCTTCGCTGACCACTTTTTCCTTGAACCTTGATGTAAGAGCTTTGAGGTGAATTGTCTTTGCTATCATGAGTTGATTGTTGAGAGAGGGCAGGGGTTCTGAATGGAAGTTCAGCCATTAACACATGGGATTGTCTTGAGGAGGAAATAAAGCGAAATTAAATTAAGCTCTTATTCTCATGTCTCTTTAGGTCTTTATATTTTTGCTTTACTATATTTTTGCTGGTTGCAAGATTCATCCTTTTTCTTGTCATTTGTCTTTTTAAATTCTGAAAGTTGGGAATGCTTTTTAAGCTGCATGTTCATAATCATTATTGTTTTTGCTAACAGTCAAACATGCAACTAATTGTGCTATTTTTTGTTTTCCTCTTTGGTTGCAGAGAAGGGGTAGGGCTGGTCGTGTGCAGCCAGGAGAATGCTACCACCTTTACCCCAAATGTGTTTATGAAGCCTTTTCTGAATATCAACTTCCTGAACTACTGAGAACACCTTTGAACTCTCTTTGCTTGCAAATAAAAAGTTTGCAGGTTGAGAGCATTGGAGAGTTCTTATCAGCAGCTTTACAGGCACCGGAGCCACGAACTGTAAGTGCCAATGCTCTTTAGTTATAATGTATATTTGTATTAAATAAATCAAAGTAAATCTTATAAATTTGTAGAGGATAATCCATTTTTATAGATAATTTAAAATGCTTAACGTCTAAATATATTGTTGGGACAGGAAATTTTAAGAGAAATTAAAATTCTAGAAGTTTAAAAGAGTAATTTGATTACATAAAATTATACAATTTCAANTTTTTGCTGGTTGCAAGATTCATCCTTTTTCTTGTCATTTGTCTTTTTAAATTCTGAAAGTTGGGAATGCTTTTTAAGCTGCATGTTCATAATCATTATTGTTTTTGCTAACAGTCAAACATGCAACTAATTGTGCTATTTTTTGTTTTCCTCTTTGGTTGCAGAGAAGGGGTAGGGCTGGTCGTGTGCAGCCAGGAGAATGCTACCACCTTTACCCCAAATGTGTTTATGAAGCCTTTTCTGAATATCAACTTCCTGAACTACTGAGAACACCTTTGAACTCTCTTTGCTTGCAAATAAAAAGTTTGCAGGTTGAGAGCATTGGAGAGTTCTTATCAGCAGCTTTACAGGCACCGGAGCCACGAACTGTAAGTGCCAATGCTCTTTAGTTATAATGTATATTTGTATTAAATAAATCAAAGTAAATCTTATAAATTTGTAGAGGATAATCCATTTTTATAGATAATTTAAAATGCTTAACGTCTAAATATATTGTTGGGACAGGAAATTTTAAGAGAAATTAAAATTCTAGAAGTTTAAAAGAGTAATTTGATTACATAAAATTATACAATTTCAAATTCTACCTAAAAAGTATCATTTGAAAGTATCTGTATTCTTTTTTCTCTTACATTTATTACTTTTTCTTAATACCCTCTCATATGTCAACTCCTTTGAGGTTGTCTAAATCATGTGTAAAAGTTAGTTAAATTACACCTTCACTAAGTTTTTATACAATGCAAATTTAACCAATCTAATCGTGGAATTTCATGATATTATCTTAAAGATCATGTTTAAAAGTTTTCACACAATTTTAATTTTGGTTAAGTATGTTTTTAGTTTCTGGTTTTTGACATGAAATTGGAAGTTGTCCCTGTTCAAAACTTTGATATATTTTGGTTCTCAAATTTTAAAAATGAATGAATATAGTCCTTTTTTTAACCCAATTATGTTAAATTTTTTTGACATATCAAACATGTTTTATGATAGCATTTAAGTTAGTTACACCTTTTGACATGATCTCGCTTCAATGTTAGATGGGAAACACATTTAAGAACTAAAATGTATAAAAATTTCAGACATGAACAAATTCCAATTTTGCATCAAAGTTCAAGAATTAAAATCATACTCAACAATTTTAATTAGATATGTTAACCAATAATGAGTATTTATATATTTCAGTATCATATTATATGTTAAAATTAAGTGACGTGATAAATTGGTAAATAATTTGAAATTGTCTATGCATGCTATAATTAATTATAATATGAAATTCAATTGTTGGATTAATTAAATTTGCTTTCCATAAAAAGGTTTTTAAAGGTGTAATTTAACTAACTTTTACACATGGTGTAAAGGGATCTTAACCCATATACGTACGCATATATAAAATATAGAGGAGGGATAAAATGAGACCAGTTTAAGTTACACTACTGACCTTTTTAATAACATGTTAGATAATTAATTTCAAAACTTAGTTTTGGGTTGAAAGTTACTTATAGTTAGATCATATCTACAAAAAAAAAATGTATTAGTCTAAATATATTTGATACTTTATTTATATCTGTCAAAATTGGTATAGTTTATAATATATAATTCTTAGCACATATCCAAATATGAACTTATTGATTACCATTTTAGTGTTCTTTTTTTTCTGAAGTATAGCACACACAATCAAGGTAATATGTAATTATGATTCAAGGACAAATTATAAAAGAAAAAAAAATACTTTTTATAGCTGGTATTATTTGATCTGTCATGTATTATTTACATACATACTATTGCGTATCGAAGTGGGAAACGTAACCAAAACGAACCCTCACACACTCTCACAAGCATAGTACAATGAGCAATAGATAATAGATGAACCAATCTCCTTTATTGAAAGAAATAACTAAAAGAAAACAAACAATAACTGGTAGCATAACCTCCTTCAATCACTTGGGAGCATATCCTCCTTTATAAAACTCAATGATCAAAAGCCTACCCTCAACCATAGCGTTAGGGCTTTATTTATAATTATTATTTTCCTAGGATATATTTCTAATTACTGTAATTAACTTATACTGAATATTTTCCTAGGATACTGCTCTAATTACTGTAATTAACAATATTTCCCTGGATACTGCTCTAATTACCGTAATTAACAATATTTCCCTGGGATACTGCTCTAAGTACCGTAATTAACAATATTTCCTTAGGATTACCATAATTAACAATATTTTCCTAGGATATAGCTTTATTTACTATAATTACTATATATTTCCCGCCTATCCTAACTGCTGTCCCAGTTAGGATATTCACTCTTCAACTGATCGGCTCTGGTCTTCCTCCTTCCACCGTTCGGCTTGGTCTTCCTCCTTCCACCATTCGGTCTTCGACGGAGCTTCCTCTCTCTGTTCTGACCCTCCATAGCAGCCATTGCTATCATCTTCGTTGTCTTAACAATATCTCTGTCTTCTCGCCACACGCTTTCGCATCGCCGGTCTCGTTTCTGTGTTCTGGTTTTCTGTCACCACCAATGGGTTTCGTTATCACCAATGGGTTCTCACTTCATTTCTGTTTCTCAAGCAACAATGCTTTGTTCCGCTGCTACCATAGTCAGCGCCGGCGCAGTCAGTTGTTGTAACCTCTGCAATTTGTCACTGCCGCCTCAATAAGCTGCCACATTTTCTTTGGTCAAGATTAAGAGTGCCTCATGAAGTGCATTAGCCGTCGTTTCCTCTGTTTGTCGTGAGGGGAAATATTTTTCAGCCCCTATAGAGAACTTCCTTCTTGGGCTAGAGTTTAGCCCGTAGTTCTTGTAATACAGTGTTAAGTATCACCATTTAAGAGTAGTCCAACAGAGAACTTTGGACCTCCAACCTGTCTTTGGCCTTTTGATGCCATCATAAGTCCCCCAATCTTTGGTGTTTTTGGTTTCTGCCAATGCCTTGTTGTAATAGCTCACTGAGAGTTGTTCTAATGCCTTGTTGTAACAGCTCACTGAAAGTTGTTCTATGAGACCACCCGCTGATTTGGCTCGTTCGATGTTAGGGGTTTTAGATTTGTCCCCAAATACGGATCGGTTCTCACAAGTTCTTCCACCTTCACGTTCTGTCATTGACGTGCATATGCCGTTCAGTTGTGAGGGGAAGAAAAGTTTCAGCTGCTGTAGGGTGGTTAAGTCCCTACAGGTTTGTTGTTATTAGCCACTGCAGGGCAGTTCAGTTCCTGCAGGTTTGTTGCTATTCAAGACAGTAAAGTCCTTGAAGGCTCATTGTTGTTAGGGCAGTTAAGTCCCTAAAGGTTAGGACAGTGAAGTCCTTGATGATTCGTTGTTGTCAGGGCAATTAAGTCCCTAAAGGTTAGGACAGTGAAGTCCTTGCAGGTTCGTTGTTGTTAGGGCAGTTAAGTCTCTAAAGGTTCGTTGTTGTTAGGGCAATTAAGTCCCTAAAGGTTCATTGTTGTTTAGGGTGGTTAAGTCCCTACAAGTTTGTGGCTATTAGCCTTTGAAGGCCTCCCATATGTTACTCATAGAAATCATGTTCTTGAAGTTTTGTTGTTGTTCGCCACTATTGATGGCAATCCAGTCCCAACAATTTGTTGTTGTTCGCCGCTGGAGGCCCTTCATTTGTTCTTGTAGTTCGTTTGTGACTACATGTCATCATCCATTTTTGATGGAAATTTGCCCTCGTCCATTGCTGTCCAAGTTGAAGTTTCATGGTGCTAGTTCACCCTCGTCCATTACTGTCTAAGTTGAAGTATTGTGCTAGTTCGCTTTTGTCCATTGTTGTCCAGTTTGGTTTATTGACGTTCTCTACAATTGAGTTTGACTATTCCAAGCTTGGTTCATACAATCTTGTATGATCCAGCTTGAGAGAGAGTGTTGTAATTTGAGATAATATCTTTAGAATCTTCCTAATTAGAGGAAACAAATATATAACATTTTAATTTATTTTACTTTCCTAGTTTCCCTATTTACCTTTTTAGGAGAATTAGATTATTACAAATAGAGAGTATCAGAATGTACTTTTTATGATTGAGAATAATAAATTAGTCTTATTTTCCACTAGAATCAACACCAATTTTTCTCCTATCTGTCCCTGCAATTTCATCCCTCTGGTTGGGTAAGGCCTCCAACAGAGAAGGCTGACAGCTCCATCTGCATTTCATCAAGTTCGGTCTCCGCTTCTTCTTCGTTTTCTTCGTCATCTTCTGCCAATATAACCATCCGAAGGCTCCTTTCCAGACATTGGTGGCCTGGACCGAAAAGTCCCCCACACCTGTAGCACCTTCCTTCTTCCCTCTGTTTCAGATATTCCGCATAAGGTAGATTCCTCATGTTTCTTTCCCTGTTCGTTGGCGGTCGATCATCCTATCCCACTTCTGTGTGTTCCTTCTCGTCCTCTTGAACTGCTGTTCTTTGTGGATCCCGCTCGGCTTCCTACAGAAAAGCCCGTTCGGTTCTGGTTAGGTTGACTGGGCTCCAGTCGCGTTCTCGAACCTTTCGGTCTCCCCCAAGGTTGATTCCTTCTCATACTTTTGCTCCCGACCTTCGCACCCCCTTGGATCTCCTCCACGTCTTTTGCCATTCTCATTGCTATCATCAACTCCTGCGGATCAAGCAGTCGTACTTGATTCTGAACTCCCTCCTGTAACCTCGCCATGAAGTATCCCATCAGCTGTTCTTTGGCCACTCCCTGTGTCTGGCCCACCAGGATTTCGAACTCTTGGATGTATCCTTCCATTGCACCCGATTGCTTAATAGCCGCTAGTCTTTCGAAGATTGATCCCCGATTTGTACCTCCGAACCGTACCACCATTGCCTCCTTCAGTCCCGTCCACGTTTGGTTCCCCGCCTGCTCCCTCCAAAATCTGAACCAGTACCCGACACTACCCTTCACACTAATGTAGGCTAGGCGCAACTTTTCTTCCACGGACACCCCTTGTAACTCAGAATTTATCCGCTCTAGTGATCTAATTCAACGAATCAATTCCTTTAAAAATGGGTAACTCAATCCTTTTTCTCCAATTCAGCGATTCCTCCTGGTGTCCACCGTTCGGTCCCCCATCTCTCTCACCCTCCTCTTCATTCATCTTTCTGTCAACAGACCCCTGGCTTCCTTCCGAATTCCCATCTAGATGACGGGGGCTCGTCCTCCCATCATCCTCATTAGCTCTTGCAAATCCTTGCGGATTGCCGCTACCTCCATCTCCACCCCTGATATGGACAGTTGCATGCTCTCCTGTCTCAGCCCCACGTGCTCCAGTTTCACTTCCACCGTATTCAATCTTCCCTCCATGATGTCTTTCACTTCTATCTGTCAAACCGACTAGCCTCTCACTCCTCTCTATCGATCTTGCAGGTCGGACCAATTGTTACGTATCGAAGTGGGAAACGTAACCAAAACGAACCCTCACACACTCTCACAAGCATAGAACAATGAGCAATAAAACGAATCTCCTTTACTGAAAGAAAACAAACAATAACTAGGAGCATAACCTCCTTCAGTCACTTGGGAGCATAACTTCTTTTGCAAAACTCAATGATCAAAAGCTTGCCCTCAACCATAGCGTTACGACTTTATTTATAATTATTATTTTCCTAGGATATATTTCTAATTGCTATAATTAACTTATACTGAATATTTCCCTAGGATACTGCTTTAAATTTTGTAATTAACAATATTTCTCAAGTATAATGCTCTAATTATCGTAATTAACAATATTTCCCTGAGATACTGCTCTAATTACTGTAATTAACAATATTTCGTTAGGATTACCGTAATTAACAATATTTTCCTAGTATATAGCTTTATTTACTATAATTACTATATATTTCCCGCCTATCCTAACTGCTGTCCCAGTTAGGATAGTCACTCGTCAACCGATCGACTTTGGTCTTCCTCCTTCCATCGTTCGGCTTGGTCTTCCTCCTTCCACTGTTCGGTCTTCTCCTTCTTTCCTATACATTTTTCTCTCATATACCTTCCAACCCCTAACACATACACATACATCTCTCTCTCCATATATATATATATATATATATAATGTAACATCACAATTTAGTACTATAAAACTACTAAAATGATCATTACATGGATAATGATATAACAAAAACTACAGATTTACTATGAACAAAAATTCTTCACCTGAAGAATAAAAGTTCAACCTAAATTGTAAGCTTCACTTCCAAACTCCCGCTACGACAATTTAAAGATTGCATCGATAAGCTCACACCATTTAAGTGATCATTGCAAAAGAGAAAGCAACATACAAAGACATACCACAGAAAAACAAGGGTAAGCTAGTATAATTTAATATTCATGTGGAAATACAATTCAAACAAGCAACTAGGATACTCATACAACATGTGTAAAACATATAAACATATATTGACCGACCATTTTAACTTGACTATCCAGACTATTATGAATATGTAGCTTGAGGCCGTTCGTGCACCCGTGGGTGTAGTAACTGGAAACCCATGAGCTGTCACACGAGGTTAGCCCGTTATCACTCACCGTAGGACCCCCGTTAGGCTAGGGCCTCCTACTATGCTCCCGATGTTAATCATTAGAATGTTAGGATGAACGCCGTGGATTTCGCTGTCCATATTTATACTTTACCACCACCTTGATAACCAATCACTGACACATTCCTCCTTCGAATTCTCTTTCATACCAGTTGGAACATCATACCTTATTTGAATATTAATACAATTTCTCATACATAGTAGATCAAGGCAACTATAATAAGCAATGAAAGCCAAAAATTGAAATCAACATTTAAAGACCGAATAACATTTCGTAGTAGAAGACCGAACGAGCAACAACACAACCCCTGAGTACGACCTAAATCTTCCTAACATCATTCCAAAGAGTCTCATACCAAATTTCACTCCAAATTCTGCATAATCAACAACTCAATGACCCAAAATCCATTTTCCTACTTTTTACACATTTTATAGAGACTTAAGGGTTCTAATAGGTTGAGTTATACTTGCTCAGACTCTTCCAATTGACCAAATTCACTCTTAACCCCAAACTCTCATTTTCACTTACTCACTTCCTCAAAACCAGAACAAACCGAACACTATGCAGAGAACTCCAAACCGTTCACAGGTTCCCGCATTCACAATTTCAATCAAACATTCAAATTACACACATGCAACCATCCAAACAGTAAATTTCATATATAGAAAATCTTAATTAAATTAACTAGCTTCCCTTACCTCTTAGCTGAACCGAACAACTTCTATCCTTCTAGAAAATTTGCTCACAACACCAGAAAATCATAAGAACACCTATAGCTCACAGATTTTTGAGAAGAGACCAACCAAAGGACTAAGAACGTAGTCAGAATTGAGGAGAGAAAGCTGATGAACACATGCAAACCGAAATGTTGCTTGCATGTGCTAAAAGTTTCAGAATTTCACAAGACTCAAGGGAAACGAAACTTACCAACTCTAAGCACGAAATTGATCGGTGGGATAGGAAGCTCTTGACGTCTGGATCGTCTAGGAAGCTTCTGATGGTTGATCAGATGAATCTCCAGTGAGAAAATCTAGAGAGAAGGGAGAGGAAGAGTAGAGAATAGTGTTTTTAGAGAGATAGAAAGTATTTAGATAATGAATCGAGTGTTTTAAATTTCTATTTATACGGTTGGCTTATTTTAACACAAATGCTTGGTCTTATTACTTTAATACATCTATCTACTCTTAACCGACTATTTGTTAGGTTCTTACATATATATATATATATATATAGTAGAAATTAAATTACCTTACCCAAATTGAAAATTTGAATTATTGATCGGTGAAGAGTTGGAGCCGAACGGTAGGATACAGGGGGAAGCAAGCCGAACGAAAGGCGGTGAAGAGTGACTGTCCTAACTCGGTAAACAGTTAGGATGGACGGGAAATAATTATAGTAAATAGGGCCATATCCTAGGGAAATATTCAGTATAAGTTAATTATAGTAAATAGAGCTATATCCTAGGAACTTATTCAGTATAAGTTAATTATAGTGAATAGAATTATATCCTAGGGAAATATTCAGTATAAGTTAATTATAGTAAATAGAATTATATTCTAGGAAAATATTTAATATAAATAAAGCTAGATGCTATTGTTTAGGGCATACTTTTGATTACTGTGACAGGCGACTATGCTCCTGTGAGGGAGGTTATGCTCCCAATTACCATTGTTTACTTTTGTTTATTCAGATATTACCATTAATAAAAGAAATTCATTCGTTCATTATCATTTGTTCATTGTTCTTTTTATCTATTGTGATCGTGGATAGTTACTTGTTCATTGTTCTTTTTATCTATTGTGATCGTGGATAGTTACGTCTCCTACTCGGATATGTAACACGAATGGTGTTGAGAAATTGCATATTAAAATGTCGAATTATGTGTTCTATTTGTTAACTTAGTCAAATTACATTTTCTGACTGTTTTTGAACTTGGGCAAAAGCAAAGAGCGCATCAACCCATTCTGTAATTTCCTGCAGTTTGCGTACATACACATGTGCGTACATATTTGAGGCCTTGTGATTGATTAGTCTGTAAGTAAAGATACCATGTTTTACCATTTAATGGAACAGGTTCAAAATGCTATTGACTTTCTGAAGATGATTGGAGCACTGGATGAAAAAGAAAATCTTACAAATCTCGGTGAGTCTATTTTTTCTATCCTATTTTCTTGGTTTCTCATGTGCCTATGAATATGTTTGATTGTTATAAGTAATTCTTTTGTTTCCATTTTCTTTCAATCAGGGAGTTTTCTCTCTATACTTCCTGTAGATCCCAAGCTGGGCAAAATGTTAATAATGGGAGCTATATTTCGATGCTTTGATCCTGTTCTTACAATTGTAGCTGGCCTTAGTGTCAGGGATCCTTTCCTTTTGCCCCAAGACAAGAGGGATGTAAGTCAGCTGATTACCTTTTGTGCAGAATTGATTCTAATAACCTTTTCATTTATATGACTTTGGCTATGTAGCTAAACGATGAATACAAACTTTTGCTTCAATATTTCGTGAACCAAAATACCAAAAGCTTAAGCTGTTAGGTCTACACATGATGTTTATGCTATATCCCTGAATGTGATTAAGCAAACATTTAATGGAAACGGATAATCTCATATTTAGGCATTTAATTTGACAGCAATAGTGTTAGATTTGTGAACAGTGCGAATATGATGGTGAAGACATTGAGATTTGTAAATGAATATGTTGAAAATCTGCAAATACAATATATTATTGTAATAAATATAGTTTATAGGCATATTATCTGTAATTTAGAGGAAATCGTCTACCCTCCCTTCATGTGTATTTATTCGACAGATCTACATAAACCTTTACCCGTGCTGTATTCAGACATAGTGTCAAAGTATCTGTCTCTTTTGTTTGTTCTAACAACATAGATTACTAAAATGTCTTCTCATCCTACTTTTAACCGAGTCTAATGGTGCATGCACTTCATGTAGCTGACTTCACCAAGTGGGAAAAGACCTTTTTATTAATCTTGTCCTTCTGAATAAAATTTTTCCTTTCATAGTGATCAGAAACTGGTACAAGAATGCTGTTTAATTGGAAACCAATACTGCGAATCATTACTGTAAATCGTATTCTCATCCTGCACTGGTTTCCTATTGCTGAATTGATATTCATATAATATCTTTATAAATAATGATTTGTGCAAAATAAATACTACAAAAAAATTCACTGAGGTAAAGATAAATGTCGGAGACAGAGACGTAACAGGCTCTTTGAATACTCAGTTACCTCCCTTCCAATTTGTACTCAAACCTTCTTCCATGCTCTCTTGCAATCTACTTCCTTCCGCCCACCTGCTTCTTGTGCAGGTCGTTACAATGCCATTTCCTGGGTTGATTACCAATCACATTCCCTTCATTCTTCACAGGAACCTTCAGTTCCTTCTACTCTTTCCCTTCTTTTTTCTCCACACCATAGTGAGCGTTGTCTGCTTCACATAGTGACAATTAACTATGGGATGCATTAGAAGGTGCTCACTACTGTTGTTGGACTAAATTTGGACTTTCAGCTTAGAACTTGCACATTTCTTTCTTTGGTTGGTTGTGCATAATCTAATTTGCATTAGTTATCACCTCACCCTACATTTAATATCCCCTTCATCTTGGTATCTAATGTTGTGATTCCCATGTTCTACAATAGTAATAATTTGATATAAGGTGGGCCATATTAGCTAGTCTTTGAACCATTTCATTTTTTTCTGTAATATGGCAATTGCTTTTCTTATTGTCACACATTATTATTTTGACCAGAAAGGTTGCGTTTACACTTAAAATAACTAAGTATAGCTTTTGCCTTTGTTTTCAGTTAGCAGGGACAGCAAAGTCTAGGTTTTCTGCCAAAGATTACAGTGATCATATGGCTCTTGTTCGAGCATATGAAGGATGGAAAGATGCAGAAAGAGAAGGATCGTCTTATGAATACTGCTGGAGAAATTTTCTCTCTGCCCAAACTCTTCAGGCTATTCATTCACTTCGGAAGCAGTTTAGCTTCATCTTGAAAGATGCTGGCTTGGTAGATGCTGATGCAAGCATGATTAACAAATTGAGTCACAATCAGTCTCTTGTCCGTGCTGTCATTTGTTCTGGACTCTTTCCTGGCATAGCATCAGTGGTGGTGAGTTATTTGTTTCTTATAATTTCTTTTTTTTTTCTCCACAGTAAATTCCTCACCTGGCTTACTAGTTGAGCTTTTATTGGTTTATTTACTTAGTTAATTCTTCCTCGGTGCAGCACAGGGAGACATCCATGTCATTTAAAACAATGGATGATGGCCAGGTTTTATTATATGCTGTAAGTGACAGACCAATTTAAATTTTTCCTTTCATCTTAAATGACTAAATTCATGTTGTGTATAATGGTTGATATTCAATTGAATATCCTTTTAGCAATTGACGAAACTTAGATATATTATGTTACGAGTACTATATTGGACTCCAATTAAAATTAAAGTTTCATCTTGGTAACTGAGGCCTTCATCTCAGATATTTAAATCGGCAGTAATAATTACTGAGATGAAAAGGAGATTTAATTGGAAAATAATACGAATATTACCTATGGTGTTATATCTAAGTTTTGCCCATTCTCGATCTAAATTGTTGTTGAGTGTTGCTTTTAAGAAAACATTGTCTTGTTTTCAGTTTTTACATACAATAACAAGTACGTCTCCTTCTTGAATGTGGTTTGAGATAAACCCTTCCCTGCCCCTATAGTATTCTTTTTCTCCTGATGGTTAGTTTTATCATTTTGACCAGAATTCTGTGAATGCACGTTACCAGACCATCCCATACCCATGGCTGGTTTTTGGTGAGAAAGTTAAGGTCAATGCTGTTTTCATCCGTGATTCCACTGCTGTATCTGATTCAATACTTATCCTTTTTGGTGGTGCTCTAAGTAATGGGATACAGGTGATTAGTTATTTGATTCACATGCTTCTTCCAGTTGACCATCTCTATGGATTTCAATACAGTAATATCATCCTTTCTTTCTTCTCCCCTCTCATGGGTTTAGGCTGGGCATCTAAAAATGTTAGATGGATATGTTGACTTCTTCATGGATCCTAATTTAGCTGATTGCTATTTGAAGCTTAAGGAAGAGCTCAATAAGCTTATCCAGAAGAAGGTTAGTAGATATCGTTTCCCTGCAATAACATTCTTTGTTTACTCACCAAATGAAAGGTTGGTGCATGACGTGAGCTTTAACTTTTAATAATAATGTTACTTTTAGTTGAATTAATATAATGTTAATCTGTTATGATAGTTGAAGATAAATAAATTGATGATGGGTTTGTACTAATGCAGCTTGAAGATCCTAGCATTGACATTCACAAGGAAGGGAAGTACTTGATGCTTGCTGTTCAGGAGCTAGTTTCAGGGGATCAATGTGAAGGAAGATTTGTGTTTGGCCGTGAAAGCCGGAAGTCAAGGGCCTCTAATGATGAAAATAAATTCACAAAAGATGGGACAAATCCCAAGAGCTTGCTGCAAACACTGTTGATGCGAGCAGGACACTCCCCACCAAAATACAAAACCAAACATCTCAAGACGAATGAGTTTAGGGCACTGGTGGAGTTCAAGGGAATGCAATTTGTTGGCAAACCGAAGAGAAACAAGCAGCTTGCAGAAAGGGATGCTGCTATAGAGGCATTGGCTTGGTTGACTCATACTTCTGACAATAATCAGCCCGAAGATGATAACTCTCCTCCGGACGTCACTGACAACATGCTAAAACTCCTAGGGAAGCGTAGAAAATCAAAGCGACGCCATGATTGACAAGTCATCCATAGATGGTTTTGGGTTAGTTGATCCTATCCTTTTCAACTTTGATCAGTAGCCTAGCACCATGCAACTTGTTGCATGATTGTGAATGGAAGGGATTTAGGAGAGAGACCTAGTATGAGGTCCTGCCAAGCATTTTCTTTTTTAGTGGAATATAATTTGTGATATTAGGCTCTTTGCTTTCTCATTTCTCCCCCTTTTGGAGGGCTTGATATTGATTTAGGATAAAATAGTTAATATAAGATGGTCGGTCATGGCCGTCTTCTGGCGCTTAGAGGTTCATTGTATATTTAGCCCACCAAATTTTGGTATCATTCTGTACACCAATATTTAAATATATCTTGTGTCCAAGACCGAGATATATAAAGTTGTAGTTAGGAATGACATGCCCTGCAATTTCTTATAGCAACATTCAATAGAATCAAATATATTTTGGTGCTTGGTCTTCCCGGTAAAAGCTGTGATGTACTAGTACACATTTAAAAATACTAATGGTTTTACTCTTTTTGACTTTGAGGGTGTGTCTGGTATCAGACAGCTTCTTCTGGCACCTTCATACATTTTAACCTTTATTCCTATTAAGTTATGAAATGACTCATTAGTCCTTATTTTTTTCCTCTACACCTTCCTTTCCTTTCTTCTACCTGCGCGCGCCCCTTCTTCCTCAACCGCACCGCACCTCTCTTCGCCCACTGTTTAACTTCTTTCTAAAAATATATCTAAGATGGTACAATTTAAAATGATTTCTTTTTTTTGTATTTAAGAATGTTTAATTTGGAATACAAAATTTGTATTTTGGACCAGAATGCAAAATATATCATTTGAAGTATAAATTTTATATTTTAAATTATATAATTTGAAATAGTTTTTTTATTAGAGAATGTATAAAAATCTGAAATATAAAATTTATACTTTAGATTATATATTTCAAAATACTTTTGGATTGTGTGATTTAAAATTTAAAAAAGAAAATTAAAATAGAAGGTAAAGTTTTTCAAGTATATGAAAATGCAGGATTAAATTATTGGGATGCAGGAAGAATCAGTCCTGGTATCAGCATTTATTGCGTACACGTTGGTACTTGTCTAAAACGTATTTTTGTCGTCATGTACTTTGCTCAAAAAGTTATCAATTTTAATCATCTCAATCAAAACATAAAAATTGAGTTATTGAAAAAATACAAAACGATAAAATATAAGTTTGAGAACATAAAAAAAATTAGATTCATACTTAAATGGAATTTAAGTTTTCCAAAATAATTCAGATATTTCATAAAATTATAAAATTTTGATTGTTTTAGATTAGACATTATCATAAAATATTTTAAATTCTTTATAAAATTAAATTTCTAACTCAATAATTTAATTCAATTTAGTATTAAATTAAATTTAACTCTTTAATTTGTAATTAGACTGAAATTGATTTAAATTGCCACGAAGTGATCAAATGAAAATGGCACAAGAAGACGCGTGGTGGTGTGCCACGTGAACTATCTATCTATTGCGCTTAAGATCTCTTTTCCCTTTCTTTCTCATTCCCATCTCGCATCAAATCAATGGCTGCAACCACCACTCTCTCCTTCCACTTTCCATATCGAAAGCTCTCTTCGCGCTCTCAATTTTCCCTCTCTTCACCTTCTTCCCGCTTGAAATCCTACACTGTTGCTTCCAGCTACAATCTCTGCATCTCCACCACCGCCACCCTCTCTCTGTTGGCTTTCCGAAGCCCAAACTCTCCGACGTTTCTCGCAAAGGCTTCTCGGAACACTCAGCCCATGCTCCCTCCTTTCAACGTTTTGATTACTGGCTCAACCAAAGGTTAACACAATATACACTCTTTCACTCTGAATTACAATAAAAAAAAAAAACATAGCTACTGTTTGAAAAATGACTCTTAAATTTCGGGAATTTTAAACTATTTCATTTCGTTTCCTACGTCTTAAAATATTTTTTTTTATAAATAAATTTGAAGTCTGAATGACTTAATTTAAGTTTTACTGAAAAAAAAGGAAAGAAGAGAAAGAAACGAATATCAAACTTCGTAGATTCTCATTTTATTTTAGAAACTTGAAATTTTATATTTTCGTATAATAAAAAACATCTTTGTCAATTTTTGGGATATTTAATTTTGCTTTCTTATTTTACCATAAAATGTTTTAAATTTTAAAAATAAATTATCTCTAAATATTCTGAATTCTTTCTTGTTTTTTTTAAGATGTATTTCAGGCACTATATGTAATATTAGCCAAAATATCTTACTTGTGTATAATAAATTTTTTTAATTGAACACTTTTTTTCAGTTTAAAATAATCTGATCTCATATTAAATAAAGCATACATTATAAATTTTAAGTATAATTTATGTATTTTAAGTATTTATTTATTATGAATTTGAAAGTATTTATCCGATGACGAAATACTAATTAATTTTTTGTTTCTACTTGGAGCATACTTTCTTCCATTTTAGAATTTAGCTGAAAATATAATTTTCTTGGACTTTAATTGTGAGTATCGAATGAATTCAAGAGATTCAAATGCATTGGAATTTGTAAATGCATCCACAAGGGCACCACCACATCACAATTTTTGTTTTTTTATATATTCTAATTTATTTTCCATTTATACTTTTTATATGATATGATATGATTCAGGAATAGGGTATGCATTGGCGAAAGAGTTTTTAAAAGCTGGTGACAACGTCCTGATTTGCTCAAGATCAGGTGCGCAAAAATGATTGGTGTTTCATACATGTACTCTGTTTACTTTTGTCATATTATATACTTATTCGATGTCTTTCTAAGTTTTTTCAGTTTTATTTTCGAAGAAATTTTATAAAATGTTGATTCAATGGTGATCACGCTTTTTTTTTTCCCACTTAGCTCCCTTTAATTATGTTAGTAGAGGTTGAAAAAAAAGCGTTTGAAGTCTCTGCAAAACTTAATCTACTTTTGCTACAAAAAACTTATTTACATGCTATTTTTTTTTGTTTTTCTATGTCTTGATTTTGTTGTCGAAAAGTTTCTTCAATCACAAAATTATAACTGTTATAAATGTTTGCCTTCAGTACCTGGAAACTTGTGTTTTGTTATTGCTCTTGGAAAGTAAACTTGTGAACCCATGACACAGTAAGGTCTTAGGTTAAAGTTCCACTATATGCAAGTAATACTTTTTTCACCTCCAATCATAATTTTACATTTTTTTAGCTCTTGGAGATTGAACATTACAGTAAATCAGTTATTCTATTACATTGCTTTTAAGATATTTGTTGTATCAGATAATCATTTATGGACATCTGTTTCCTTTCTATCAGTCCCAGTCCTTGTTATCTGTGCTTCTCTTGAAATTTTAATTCATGTTACGAATTATTTCTGAATGCCTGGGATTTTACAGTCTTACTTATCTGAATTTTTTTGTCTTTCTGTATATTTTATTTTCATTTAATAGATGAAAGGGTAGAGGCTGCTGTCCAGAGCCTGAGAGTAGAATTTGGGGAGCAGTATGTGTGGGTACCTCCTCTTAAACTTCTTTGTTAATAGTAATCCGATTATGATAAATAGTTGGTTTGCGTGTGTTCTTACATATATGCTTTTCTTTCATGCAGGGAACTAAATGTGATGTGAGAAATGCAGAGGATGTGAAGAATTTAGTTTCATTTGCTCAAGAAAAACTGAAATATATTGATATATGGGTATTAGTGTCTGATTTCTTTTCCTGTTGTGATTTATTTTGCATATATTGGTGGGAAAATATTGCTAAGATTTTATTTTAATCAGTTCTTATTGTTGAAGTCATGGTCTGAACAACAATATAAGCTGCTGTTCTTAGCCTAATTATAAATGTGACTTAAGAAATGATTTTTTAAACTGTTTTTTATAGTACCAGATTTCATATGATGAGTTCAATCGCATAATAGCATGTTCTACTCGGATCCTTTTTTATTGTGAAGTGGCATGTGTTTTCTTTTCTTGCAAATAAACAATTCTAAGTGCAGTTATATCTACAAGTTAAAGAATTAGCAGTGGCGTGCCTATTATCTACTACTGTATATACGCTGGATTTTTGCAAATGACCTATTTGGAAGTTGGATAGTTTATATTACTAGCCACATCGTTATTTACTTGGTACTTCCTTGTTGTGGAACTTGAACCAGAGACCTGACTCTAGGAAATGTTTGCCATTAGTACCTGGAAACTTGTGTTTTCTTAATTACTTCTTGTGTCAGTTTGCTCTTGTTAGACTCTTTGGAGTCAACACTTTATATAGCACTTAAATAACCTATGTATAATTCACTGTCAGCTGTCTTTTACAGCTAGCAACAAGCATTTCCCTACCACTCTCCTCCTTAGAGTAATACTGACTATTTTTTTACCAATTTTATTATTAGTTCCATCCCTTCATTCAATATGTTTCTAAGTACAGTAATTCTAATTTTATCCCTTTATTTTGAGAATTATGCAGATCAACAATGCTGGATCAAATGCATATAGCTATAAGCCACTTGTTGAGGCTTCAGATGAAGATCTTATGTGAGCTTCGATCCACCTTCTACCCTAAATGTCAAATTTTTAAATTATAGCATTTTTTATTCTTTGCTTGCAGTGAGGTGGTGACAACAAATACACTTGGCTTGATGATATGTTGTCGAGAGGTAAAATATATTCGTATCTAAGAGGCACTATGAAATATGAACAAAGTAGGCGCACAATTATGCATAGATATTTAGTTTCCATTTAGGCAATCAAGATGATGGTGGACCAACCTCGAGGAGGTCATATTTTCAATATTGATGGAGCAGGTTCGGATGGGAGGCCAACTCCTAGGTACCTTTTTGGATTTACCGGAGTATTTCATTCATGGTTTTGGTGCAGAACTGCTTATTAGGCACGGTTGCTTATTGATGCATACTGCTTCCTGTGTTTTATAAATCTAGAGAGCTTGTCTTCTATAGCGATCCCCTGGGCAAAAGTCTTGTATGATTTGGTTTGCAACACAACAAAAGTAATTTATGATGGTCAATAATCATTAATCAGTTGCTATTTAACATACCAAATCAGTTATTGTTAACAATTTGGTAATCATACAGCAGTCTCACTTGATCACATTTTGATGAAAGTGATGGATTATGAGTACTTTTTAAGTTTATTATAGTTTCTTCACTTTAGTAAGTCTTATAATCTGCAATACTTGCATAGGCAGCAAAGCCTAGGGTTTGCGTGGTGTCTGTTGAATTTAGTTTTTGAATGAAATCCAAGAAAGAACTGTAGATTCCACTAGAAATCATAATCCTAGTCAACTTACAAAATTATCACCAGTCCTATATGTTCTGGTGAAAATTCACTAATTCTTCCGCTATTTCTTAGGTTTGCTGCATATGGAGCAACAAAGAGAAGTGTGGTGCACTTAACGAAGTCATTACAGGTTAATGTTTTGCATTTTAAAAATGTTATTTCTCTTCATATACCTTGATTATCTTTGATTCTATATATTTCCAGTCCATTTGTGTTTGTTAGTT